TGGTATTTGTCCCTCACTGCCTGGCTTATTTCACTTAGCATAATGCTCTCCAGTTGCATCCATGTTGTCGCAAAGGGTAGGAGCTCCTTCTTTCTTTCTGCTGCATAGAATTCCATTGTGTAAATGTACCATAGTTTTTTGATCCACTCATTTACTGATGGGCGCTTAGGTTGCTTCCAGCACTTGGTTATTGTAAATTGTGCTACTATGAACATTGGGGTGCATAGGTTCTTTTGGATTGGTGTTTCAGGGTTCTTAGGATATAATCCTAGCAATGAAATTGCTGGGTCAAAAGGCAGTTCCATTTTTAGCTTTCTGAGGAAATTCCATACTGTTTCCCACAGTGGCTGCAGCAATCTGCATCCCCACCAACAGTGCTAGGGTTCCCTTTCCTCCACACCCTCCCCAGCACTTGTTGGTTGTTGATTTGTTTATGATGGCCATTCTCACCAGTGTGAAGTGATATCTCATTGTGGTTTTAATTTGCATCTCTCTGATGGCTAGTGATGCTGAGCATCTTTTCAGAGGTCTCTGAACCCTCTGTATGTCCTCCTTGGAAAAGTGTCTGTTCAGGCCCTTTGCCCATTTTTTAATTGGGTTGTTTGTCTTCCTGGAGTGGAGTCATGTGAGTTCTGTATATATTTTAGAAATCAAACCCTTGTCCGAGGTATCACTGGCAAATATGTTTTCCCGTACAGTTGGTTCCCTTTTCATTATAATGCTGTTCTCTTTAGCCATGCAGAAGTATTTTTAATGATGAGATCTCAATTGTTTATTCTTTCCTTTATGTCCCTTGCTCTAGGGGACATATCTGTGAAGATATTGCTGCGTGGGATGTTTTGAGATTTTCCTGCCTATGTTCTCCTCTAGGACTTTAATGGTGTCACAACTTATATTTAAATCATTTATCCACCTTAAATTTATTTTTGTGTATGGTGTTAGTTGGTGATCAATTTTCATTTTTTTGCATATAGCTGTCCAGCTGTCCTACCTCCATTTGTTGAAGAGGCTATTTTTACTCCATTTTATGCTTCTTTCCCCTTTATCAAATATTAATTGACCATAGAGACTTGGATTTATTTCTGGGCTCTCTATTCTGTTCCATTGGTCTATGTGTCTGTTCTTATACCAGTACCAGGCTGTTTTGATTATGGTGGCCTTGTAATACAGTTTGATATCAGGTATTGTTATCCCTCCTACTCTGTTCTTTTTCAAAATTGTTGCAGCTATTCAGGGTCATTTATGGTCCCATATAAACTTCTGAAATGTTTGTTCTATATCTGTGGAATATGTCCTTGATACTTTAATAGGGATTGCATTGAATCTATAAATTGCTTTGGGTGACCAGAAATTCTAATTGGCACTTAAGTATTATTACTGGTGAATAAAAACAAAAATGAATTATTTAACAAGTTTACTTTGTTTAGGAAGAAAAAAATCCTTTCAAACTGTGAGGTACCTGAGGGAGTAATACTTGCAGCATTTTTAGGAGTACAATGGCCTGAAAACCACTGGTTGGCTGTGTCAAAGGACTTTAACCTGTCTCTGTGTGCACTTTGTAAGGTCAAACCTATAGCTAGAACTATAGCCTTACTTTACATTAGCAATCTTCTGCCTCTCTCCCCCAGACATTCAATCTCTGATAAACTTTACATATAATCCACCAGTATTATAGAGCATTGACTCTGAATTCCCTGAAAGAGGAAAGGATTCATAGGAGATAGAGTTGAAGAAATCTGATGTAATAAATTGCCGAAGATATGAGTTCTGTCTGTAAAAAGTCCAGCCGTTGTTTAATATAGCAAGAGTGGTTTGTGCAACTTTGATATAGTATGGCAGCCAAAGAGAGAGGACTGGAATGTGCATGCTTCAACAATGACAACTTCACTGTACTAGTCAGTGCGGGCGGTAGATGCTGTTGAGTGAGCATGTGTACTGTGTGGGTGTCACATTCAAAATGACTGAGCAAGAAGAGCAATGAACCTGCATCAAATTTTATCTTAAACTTGAACATTCCTCCGTGGGACCTATTTGGATGATTCAGAAGGCCACAGCTATGGGCAACTGGTGATTGGCAGTTTCATCACAACAATGCACCCACTCATGCATCATGTCTCTTGTAGAGTTTTTTTGTGAAACATATCACCCAGGTGACTCAGCCCCGCTGCAGCCCACATTTGGCACCCTGCGACTTCTGGCTTTTCCCAAAACTCAAATCACCCTTGAAAGAGAATAGATTTCAGACCATTGATGAGATTCAGGAAAATAGGATGGGGCAGCTTATGGCAATTGGGAGAACTGTGTGAAGTCCCAAGGTGCCTACTTTAAAGGGAACCGAGATGCCATTGTCCTATGTACAATGTTTCTTGTATCTTGTATCTTCTTCAATGTTTCCACTTTTCATATTACATGGCTGAACTTTTACTTTTGACTTTATACATAGACTTCAGTATCATTTTAATTTTAAAGAAGGTTTTATCGCCATTGTAATTAAACCAAACTCAGAAGAGGCACCTAATTTTTAAAATGCAGTGGACATGAGATAGGACAGTAAAAAGCTTGGAAAATCCTTTGGCATGTGGAATGGGGAAACTGAGACAGAACTGAACAAACTGGCCAAGCAATTCACAGCCAGGCGCAGATGCTCTCCAGGGCAGAAGGCCCTGAGAGCCCAGCAGGGGGCACATCAGGAAAACAAGGACGTCACCCCCAGGGTAACCTCTCCTCTGGCCTTTCCTCCTTGGAGATAACATCTAGGCCTCAGTTTTGTTTTAGCTCCAGGCCTAGAAAAGCAGCAAAATCAGGTGGGTCGTGCCAGAACAAAATGTAATGACTAAAGCCCACCTGCCCTGCCACTGACCAATCAGTGGAGACCATGACCCTGAAAGGGCACACCTGGAGAACTGATGAACGTTCCACTGAAACCCTCCCCTGGGACCTCCCCTAAGATTCCTACCAGCAAGAGAGAGAGAAAAGCCTCAAGACAAAGGACCCAGCACGCACTGCTTGTCCTCTGGGGATCAGCTGAGCCATTTCTATTCCCTCTCCTTCGCCCACTTCTTTCTTCACAGGCACGTGTCTCCTAAACTCTAATGCAACAGACAGGTGGCGGCTTGTCCCAGGCTGATCCCCTGAACCTGTCCCCAAGGTCCCCTTTTTTTTGACTTCCCAGTGAGTAAAGCAACCCAGCCTGGGCTCTCCTGTTGCTCCTTCTATGCAAAGCCCTTCCTTTGTTTCACTGTTTCCAGCTTTAATCAATGAATCCTCTTAGTCACCTGGACCTGTTGTGAAATCTTTCCTATGCCAAGAACCCACACACTACAGCTGGCCCTAGGCAGACCCACTAAGGGCCAGGCCCCTGTCCAGTAACAAATAATGTACTCAGCCCCCTTGTTCTCAAGGATTGGGAAGCTGGGTCGGGTTTGCGTGTGCAGAAAGGTACACACAGTGGCAACTCACCCCATTCTTTGGTAGAAGTTGAGCTGTGGATAGGCATGCTAACAATAACCACAGGGATTTTCTCTGTTTTCATAAACTATTGATGTGCTTGATGTTTCCCCAGAAACCGGGCAGAAGACAACTATGCTGGATAGATGAAAGCTAATGACAGAAAGAGGGTTTCCAAAGTGTTGCCAAGGAGACTGCATTTGAGTCACAGCCCTAGGGATTCACCCCATCACATTTGTTTCCTTGGCCTTGGTCACTTCTAGCATTCTGTTCTGCCACTCCTTCACCAGTGTTAGTGACCCAACCCTTCTGAACTGCATCCTTCTTGGGGCTTGGGGCTTGTCTCTGCATCTTGCACTAAACAAGATACCCTGATAACCGTTCCTATTTCTCAGTGCCTTTGCTCACTTTTGTGTGGTATGATTTCAAATCAAGTGAGCGTGGTGTACTGTTGGGTATTAACCATCTCATGTGGGCTTCAAAGTACAAGAGATTTTCTGTTTCAGCTCTCCTTGCATACCCAGAACACCATGGAATGAGAAAAAATGATAACACAGTTGACCCTTGAACAGCGTGAGGCTTAAGAATGCCAAACACACACTGCCGCACAGTCAAAAATTTAAGCGTAACTACAGTCGTCCCTCCACATACATGGATTCCCAACTGTGAATGGAAAATACTGTTGACCTTTGAACACCATGAGTTTGAACTGCATGGGACCACAGATTTTAAACCTGTGCTGTTCAAGAATCAAGTGTATAATATTAAAAAGAAAGAACAGACCAAAAATGGTGTCACTTTTACTAAGCCCACCAACTCAATACCTAACCTAACTGCAGTTTCAGCCTCCTCTAGGAATGGACTTCTAATCAGTTTGGAATTTCCTGGTCATCACTTAGTGGATCACTCTGCCTGAGAAACCGCCCCCACCTTCCCCTAGGAAAGGCAACCTTGCCTGGAAAAACCCACTCTTAACTTGCTGGCCCTCCTCTTTTTTGCCTATGAAAACCTTCCATTTTGTGCAACCCCACTGAGCGCCCTTCTAGTTACTAGATGAGATGCTGTCTGATTCATGGATTGCTTAATAAAGCCCGTTAGATCTTCAAATTTACTTGGTCAAATTTTGTTCTTTAATGATAACTGTTTGGTTTCTTAGATCACAGTCCCCAAGAGGACATTCTGTTGACAAAGCATGTGTGTCCTGTTGAGTGTCATGTGCACCGTCAAAGGGGGTGGGACAATTGCTACATCATTTCAGTCCTTTCTAGAAGCAGAAAAGGCTCTGTGGAGTTAGATTCATATTCTGGAAGCAAAAACTTCAAATTCATCTTCTGGCTGCAATAGAGGGGAGAGTGATGGTGATAATAAAGTGTTTCTCTGAATTGCTACAGAATGCTTATTGCTAGAACCAATGTGATTCATTCAACTGTTATTTTTTAAATGTGCCAGACTCCACTGTGGCTTAGAGTTTTGCTTGTGCCTGCAGCTGATGGAACCCTGGCCCAGCGCCTCGAGTCCTCTGCTGGGGTCGGCTCACTCACAAAGAACCAGGGCTTTATTTCCAGGTTTTATTTCATTCTTTAAAACAATTTTCACAGTTTGAAACATTAACTTATAGCTTAGCATTTACAGTGGTTAACTTCTATGATCTGTTTTCCATTTTGAAAAAACAAAAAACAGACAAAAACTCAGGCTCTAGAATCAAAACCATTCCACAGGAATGCTCGGGGTGAAGGGAGCTTTAGAAGTGCAAAATAAAGACATGGAATGCTGAGGGTATAACCTTTCAGGACATGTTTGGGGGGCAGTCTAATTTACATCTAGGTTTGACCATGGAGGCCTCTCACTGGGTATTTTCCATTTCTCCTTTTATGTGAAGATGTCCAGCCCTGATTTCCGACAAGCGGAGAGGTCTGGAAAGCAGGTAGTGAAAGAGGACACACAGACTCCAGCAGCTACCAGGTGCAGTGTTTCCACTGATGCGCTTTGTGTGTGACAGGAGAAACACATAAGCAGGTTACCCTAGACACCCTGATCTCTCGGGTTCTCCTCACCCAGCTTTTCCAGGGTGCTGGAGACCCACCAGTAAAAAGAACCTGTCCTGGCACAGGCCGGGCTCCTCTGCTGCCTGGGCCAAGAGCACAGGTGTGCACGTTTGCCCGTGTGTGTGCACAAGATGTGGCCTCAGGTGAGAACGCTGATGTCAGGAGCTAGAGCTGCAAACCAGCTGCGCAGACCAATTACTCTCTTGCCTTTTGAGACGGGTAGTGCCTTCACAGCCCTGCTCGACTTCACTCATAGTTCCTGCCTGAATACTCTGAAAGGTCTCTCCCTGCCACTCTGGTTCCATTACTCAAGGAAGGACTGCATACCACCTTCTCCAGGCAGCTCCTTCTGCTGCATGGGAAGCAGAAAAGATGTGGGTGTTGGGGATGTGAAGGGGGGAAGAAAGAAGGGAACGTTCTAGCTCTCCTTTGTATGGGTGAATTTGCAGCTGAGGGCTGGGGACACAGCTGATAACCTCAGCCTCCACCAGTAATGGGGGTGGTACCTTCCATCTGTAGCTGAGGATATCAGAAAGAGAAAAGATAATGGAAAATAAACACAGGCTTGCTTTAGAGCTTGCCAAATGGAAGCTGGGATGGGGAAACTTTCAGGTAAACATGCTAACCAAACCTGAGAGAAGAAGGGCCAAGGCCAGCTGTGATCCCGCTCCCTATTTTACCTGGAGCCCAACACCCCAGCACGTTTTATCAATTTCCCATAATCGGTATAGCGCAGGTTGCTTTCAGATCGCCAAAGAATCCTCACGCCTGTCTTAAATTGGTTGGAGAGCCCTAGGCACACTGGACTTCATTTGATCACATGACTGTGAGGTAGGTGAGCTGCAAGTGCTCCTCTGCCCAGCTGGGAGAGAGCGAGGGCCTGATTTGAGGCATGAAGGGTTAGAGATTTAGGGGGACACGTTAGAAGCCTGAACTGACTGACCCCTGTTGTATCACCCGTGACGCAGGCCCAGCCTTCACAGTGCTTGTTAGGAGGCCTTCTGGGGGGCAGATGCTGTCCACAGTGAAGAAGACCTTTCTCCTGACACCTGCCTAAGTTGGGGCCACAGGAGGGATAAATTCAATCAAAGTTGGATTATGAGGGGAAGAGAAAGGTGATTTTCTCCCTTTTCCTTGTTCCCAATGCTGGTACAAGAACAAATTAAGCTCTTCTCCCTAAAGCTCCAGGCCATGGGAAGCTCTTGCCCCTCCCTGAGCCACTCGCACAGTGGCACACCTCAGTCTGTCCCTTCCTCTGTCTCAGGCAGCAGGCTGTCTAAACGCCTCACATTTTTTCCCAACGCCTTCCACAGCACAGGGTTGGAAGGCACAGCCGAGCAGACAGCAGCACCGACGGCTTGTGCCAGTGCCGGCTGCCCACCTGATCTGGAGGGCGCTGGCCTCTGATGTGGGGACGCCTTCAATGGCCATCCCCTGGCCTGAGCAGAGTGTGGGAAGCAAGCAGCCAGTGTTTGCACTGTGACATTGGTTACGGGCTTCCACGCTGCAGCCACGCAAAGCACTCTTTGCCTTGAACTTCGTGCAGTGCAAGAACTGACTGTTCAATCCAGAGTCCTCAGCTCCATGCAGTTAACTTTGTTCACATCCAGCAGTCCCATCACAAATGGGCAGCTGTGGCAGGACAATGGGAGGCTCTCAGCATGGACTGCTATGTTTGCTCCTTTCATCAGAAAAGAACATTTTTCCTCTTGAGGTAGGAATGTAATTGGGGCTCAGCTTGGCTAACACTCAACGTCTTGTAGCTCGATCTCCTCAGCTGTGTTCTCTGCAACACAAAAGACATGTCAATGAGTTGCAAGTCAACCATAAACTTGTGTTTATGGTGAGAACAAGGTAACATGGGCCACCTCTGGCCATAAAAGCATAAATTGATTATCACAAGGCCCAGAGAGTTACCTTTGAGTTTGTGTCTTCTCTTCCTCTGGAATTTATATGCACACTTATTACAAACCCACATGAGGCTAATTAACACTGCAGCCACAGCAGCGAGTAAAGCAAGGAAGACAGCGACAAAGTGGAGGTCTTCATAGAGGATCTCTATAAGGTGGGGGGGCGGGGAAGGGGAAGATAAGTCTCTTTTAATGTCATGGAGTCAGCCTCCCATACACTTGCAGTCAGAGGGGCACCAGGGTCTGTCTTACCTGACACATGCAGCACAATGGTGCCAAACTGGCTGCTTCCCAGGTGCTCAGTCACTGTGACAACATAGTAGCCAGAATCCCTCACGCCCACGCTGAAGAGCTGGATGGAGCCATTGTCAAAGGTGCCGACTCTGTCCTTGTGGCTTTGGGAGATGTTGGCCTGGGCCCCCGGCTTCCACTCCACGATCTTCTGCACTCCCCAGTTGGATGTATACTTCCATTCGATGGTGGGGACGCCATGGCAGGAGTATTCCACCGAGAGCAGGATGTCTTCTTTCACTGTAGCGTTGATGGTGGACTGGGGGATGTACAGGGACACGCCCTGACCTGCAGGATGGAGCGTTAGGTGTGGGGCAACTTATAGGAACTCAGTGGTATTAATTTCCCGTAATTCATTAATTTACTTAGCAAATATTTCTTGAGTGCCTATTGCATGCCGGGCTCTCTTCTAGGCTCTGGTGCTAATGCTACAGTGGTGAATGTTATGGTATAAATGTTTATACCCTGCCCCTCAAATTTCTGCATTGGAACACTAACCCCCAGTTTGGTTGTATTTGGAGTTGGGCCTAGAAGGAGTTAAGGTTAAATGAGGTCAGGATGGTATGGTCCTGATCCAACAGGATTAAGGTCTTTATAAGAGGAGACACAAGAGAGCACATTCTCACTCCAGGGGCTCACGTGGATGAAATACAGTGTGAAAACACAGCAAAAAAGTAGCTGTCGATAAGCCAAGAGGAGAGCTCTCACCAGAAACCATACCCTGCCAGCACCTTGATCTTGGACTTTCCAGCCTCCAGAACTGTGAGAAAATAAATTTCTGTTGCTTATGCTTCCCAGTCTGCAGTATTTTTTATGGCAGCCTGAGCTGACAGACAGTGAACAAGAAAGACACACAGTTACTGTTTACGGTTCCCTGGAGCCTTCATTCTGTAAGAAGACACACAAAGGCTAAAGGAACCAACAAGATCATCTTAGATAGCAAAAAGTGCTTAATAAAACAGGGCACTGGTGCCCAGTGGGGATGGAACTGGTCAACACCACTACAGAGAAGAGTCATGGATGTTCTTGCTCAGCAAATTACTTTTGAAATGAGACCTAAAGGACAGAGAGGAAGAGGAAGCAGCCAGATAATGACCAGGGAGGAGTGCATTTCAGGCAGTGGGAATGACCACAAAGCCTGTGAGGTGAGAGTGAGCACTGCTGAGCTTGTGGGGCAGAAAGACGACCTCTGTGCTAGAGCACAGTGGGCCGTGGGCAGAGGCGAAGAGACAAGGTGGGAGAGACAAGATTGGCAGGACCCAAGTCATGAGGTGAAGGTCAGGGGTGAAGTTTGTACTCAAAGGTAATGGAAGGCTATAGGAAAATCAAGCAGGAGCATGACATTCTCCATTAAGCTTAAGAATGTTTGCTGTGGAGAATGTTCTGGGATTGAGGGGACTAGAATGGAAGCAGGAAGAGCAGTTGGGCGGCTGCTGCAGGGGACTGGGTAAGAGAGGGAGATGTAACCTTGGAGAGAGTGAATAGGGGTCTGATTTAGGGCATGTATTTGGAAGTAGGGAGAACATGCTGACAAACTAGATACAGGGGTAGGCGAGGCAAAGAGGTTTCTGCATGAAATGGGTAGATTAATAGTAGTGCCATTGGCTAAAGTTACATATATGTTGTTACATCATATTAAGTAGGTACCAGGCATAAGCCCTATGCTAACTGCTTTACCAAACACATCATTCATTAGCTTCACAAAACCTATTGCATTTCTATAAAAAATTTACATATAAGCAACCTCAGGCCCTGGCCAGTGTGGATCAGTTGGTTGGCATGTCATCCCACACACTGAAAACTGGGTTCGATACCTGGTTGGGGTGTGTACAGGAGACCAGCTAGTGACTCGGGCAGGATTCAAGCTTTGGGCCTGTCTCTTGCTTTCTACCTCTGCTTCCCGTGAGCCCTCTCATTCTTTGGGTGCCAAGTTGCCTGGGGCTCCTGCCGTGTGGCTCCAGGTAACCACACCTGTTACTCTTCCAGGCCTTTCTCACTGTCCTCTCCCCGCCAGCCCATTGCACCTGTGCTGCTCCCTAAAACCTGGCTCGGTGACTGGAGATAATCTGATCAATTCCATGCTGAAAAATTGGAATTAATGGCTTTTAAGAGTTATATCTACCAAGTAACAAAAATATATTTTCTCCCTGACTCTGTATTTTAAAAAATGTTAAACACACAGAACATTTGAAGATAAGTACAATTAATATCTATATACCATTCCCTACATTCACCAATTATTAACATTTGCTTTCTCTCTTTTTCTCAGGAAGAAAACAGAGGTCAAATTCCAGGATAGCCCATAGAGGGCAGGAATCATGTGTTTTCTTCATCTCTGGGCCCGCTGTACCCAGCACGATGCCTGGTATAGTTGCTGGTCAATAAATGATTGCTGAGTGAACGAGTGAGTGAATGACCAAACATTTATAGAAGCAATAAGGAGAATGAGTCATTCTGGATAAAATTGTTGTTACTTGGGTAGTTAAAAAAAGTTAGGCACATCTAAAAGCCAACAAGCATATAAGAAAGAACTATAGTCGAGGCTTTTTGTGCCAGTTACTCTATTATATACTTACTATGTACTTTACAACCCTTGTCCCTTATTTTTTAAATGAGAGTCAGCAACATGCCCACATAGCTGGAAACGTCAAAGGTGGGATCTGAATGCAGTCTGTCTGATGCAGGACCCGTGTTTGTCCCACTCTACTTGGTGACTATCATTTATATCTATTTATATTTTCTGATTTCTCTGACCTCAAATATGAGCAGTTGAAATAGTGATTTCTGTAGGATCTGGAACACCCTACTTAGAACGAGTGACAAATCTACATTGTCACGTACGTGTGTCCCATATACATTCCATGCTAACTGCTGATCAAGGGAGCCTGCCGGCCTTAGGGACCTGCATTTGAGCCTTTCAATGACTTTGGCCCAAGAAAGAGCAAAACTGAGAAACAAATAAAAATAACAAGCCCGAATTTCTCAGATGCTGATGTAAAAACAAACAAACCAATAAATAAATGCAGCCTGAGCTGCCATGCCGGAGGAATGTAGGCCTCCAACCTCTGGGACCTTGGGGGCTAGGTGGAGAGAGGCAAAGGGGGAAAAGTTAGGACAACTTTAATAGCATAAACAGTAAAATATAACTTAAAGAAAATGTTTGGGATGTTAAAACAGGGCAAAATAAGCTTTGGACTGGATCTAAAGCAACACTGTGCCCCAAAGAACTGTTTGCAAAGATAACAAGAAAGCAGAAATATGACCACCTGACTGGAAATTAAAAACACTCTTTAGAAGTAACTTCACTGTGTTGGTTTATCTGCACCAACAGAAAGGTCTTCCTTCTATTAATGTAATTGTTCCTCTTCCCCTTCCCATACCCCTTGCCACTGTCTCCCAGTCGGAACACTATTTGGATTTCTGCCTGAATCAGTGCTTCCCACCTAGTTGTTATTTTTTGGTCTCAAATAAATGCTTGTTGCCTCTTACCCTGGCCTTTTATTTTCAGGTTTAACACTGATACAGCTGTGAACGGACCAACTGGTTTGCATTGGTTGCTGTATTTTCTCTTGACCAGAAAAACTTCCTCCTGATCAAACAAACCAGGTATTTAACTAGGTTTTAGGAATAAAGTTTCTCCTCCTGTCAATCTACCACATATAATTAGAAATAAAAGATCTGCAGCAAGGAGAACTAACAGTTCCAAGAGTTTAAAGGCAAACTGCTTGTCAGCTGTTTAAAAAGTTATATAACGAGTAGCCACCTCTGCACCTCATGCTAACATCATTCCAGAACAAGTCCAGAGAGACTTACTGACTAGACCAATATTCAGACCTGGCTCAAAAGCTCTACTTGAGGAGGTACATTCAATAAATCAGATTCTACTTATAAAATTGATGCCAAGCAGCCATTAACATGGATAAGCTTTGTAAGAACAAGGAAAGATGTGTATGATATGTTAGTAAGTTAAAAAATAAATTTATAAAACAGCAGGATGTGATTATTTATATTTGTGTAAATATGTGCTAATTTGTAGAAAATGTTGGATTAATATATGCTAAACTGTTAACAGGAATTGCTCCTTAGAGATTAGATGGCAACAGAATTTTATTTTATAAGTTATACATTTATATAATTTTGTACTTTGTTATACTTACTCATTGAATTAATTTAAAAAAATGTATTTTTAAAAATCTTTTTAAGTGTACCTGATTAGAACAACCAATCTGGTGGGCAAAGCTTAAAGAAAAGTTTGGTTTAAAGGTTTACCTTGCTTCTCATTTTCACTTGAATTTTATGTGAAAAGCAGAGGAAAAATACATTCTACCCATTTCCCAGATAGATGAAGATGCCTCCTTTAAGGAAGAAGTCACAGAACTGAAGATTTTAGCAGGGCCGAAGTCACTGGAACCTGAATCCAGAAGTGTCCTGAAAGCCTGATTTTTGGGGCTTAGTGAGAAGTAATCAGAGAGAAATTATCAGGCAGGTGAAACCAGATTCCAAGCAATAGGCTGGAATACTGGGGTGGGCAAAGTAGGTTAATAGTAAATAATACAATAGTTAATACATAAATAATACTATAAGAATAAACTATTTTGTGTACCCATAACTGTAAACCTACTCTTGCCCACCCTGTATAATATGGCAGATCCTTGAATAACATCATTTCATTCAGTGTTGTTTAGTTATAATGTTGATGAGGAAAAAAAACTGATCCTGGCCAGGGCCACCGTCTGTGTGGAGTTTGCACGTTCTCCCCGTGTCTATGTGGGTTTTCTCTGGGCCTTTTATTTTCCTCCCTCACCCCTGCAGTGTGCACGCCAGATGAATCGGCATGTCTGCCTTATCCCCTTCTGGGTGAGTGTGGGTGTGAGTGGTTCTGTGATGGGTGTCCTGTCCTGGATGGGTCCCACCCACCCTGCACCCTGAGCTGCTAGGATGGGCTCTGGCCACTATGAACCTGATGTGTTTGGGTCTTTATTTAGAAGTTTTGTGAAATTTTTGTCAGAAGTATGAACCTGACCCTGACTTATATCAATTAGCCTAGGGTAAAATTGATTTCGTCATAATATTGTTTTGCTTAAAGTCTCAGTTTCCAAGAACCTATCAACGATTGTAAGTGGACTTGTATTTAGAATCGTTCCTTATTCCTTTTCTTACAAATAAATACAGAGGTAGTGTTTTGCTGCTTTTAAAAAATTATTTTTGAGAAGGATATATTTCCTGAAATCACAACAAAGGTCAATGTGGTTCAGGACAGAATTCTGGTGGACAAGAGTACCAATGAATGGTGAGACAGATATATTGCTGACGTGGTCTCTGAGTTTAATGAATCGTGGAGGAGACCCACTAATCAGAACATTTCCACCCACTGCTCTGGAAAGCTATATATCAAAATTGTGTGATCATCAGATGCAGCTGAGAGCCAAGAAATACGTATCATCATTGTTGTCATCATCCTTGTCAAGTCTGGAAGCAGCTAAACTTGGAATCAGAAAGTTAGGGTTCAGGAGTCCTGATTTGGAAAGCTGCGGGAGTGGGTGGTAGAATGCTGAATCCCTTACAAAGGGATGATTCCCGGGGACAGTGAGTGCGGTGGAGACACCTGATGCAGGATCCACAGGTGTTCAACCCTGGTGTCTCCTTGCCATGAGACCTGCAGAAAGTGCCTTCACTTCTGGGAGCCTCAGGGTCTTCCACTTTAGAATGAGGCTGGAAAACCTCTGGGAGGAAGCCAAGGATGAAGACATATGTGAGCCTGTGAGGATGAGGGACACACGTGGAAGGCCCAGCAGGGCACAGCACTTTGCACTGGTCCAGGAGCTGCAGCCCCTATCACTGGCTCCTCTCACATCAGTGCTGTGTCACTGGCCTCAGGGTGACCAACCTTCCTGATTTGCCTGGGACTGAGGGATTTCCCAGAATGTGGGAGTGCCACTGCTAAGTCATGGGCAAACCAGGACAGTTGGCCATCCTACCTGAGACTTAAAGAAATGTTGAAGAGCAAAGAGTAAACCCCAAGGTATACAATAGCCGATTTCTAAGGAGCCCACGGGTCTCAGCAGGAGTGGGTGCAAGATGGCCAGCTCCAGGTAAGCTGAAGGTGGATGAAAGCCATATCTCCCTTAACCCTCTGGCTCTGAACACATCTCCTGTGAGTCAGAACTCCCACTGTGTCCCTATTTTAGTGGGGACCTCCCACCAGTCGTCAGTGAACCCAGCCTGCATGCACCACACTTCCTCCCCAGCAGGACATTGGCACAGGTGCTGGCCTGGAGAATATTATTATCCCCATTTTACAGAGGACCAAATTCTGGCTTGAAGGAGCTGGGCAAGAGGGGAGACACTCATTTAAGCTGAGGCTAGAAGAGCAGGATTTTAAAACCTTGGACAAGGGAGGAAGCACCATCCCAGCTGAGAGAACAGTGAACCTACCAGGAGCCATGGTGGGTCCTCAGGTTTGGGACCTGGTGACTAAAAGGTCAGGCTGGCTGCAGCATGAGGAATCTGCAACAGGCTTAGGATTACCCGAAGAAGGTCTTCCTTGAGCACAGAGGACACAAGATGATGGTGTTTGAATAGAGGAATTGCAGGATCTGAACTTGGCTCCAGGAAGGGCAATCTGGCAGCAGAATTTGTTATCATTTATACACGTCACCTGCACTACCTTGAGCCCACCACACATGCTTGTCCTATGCACCTTTAGGAGAACCTCTGGCTGGAGCTCAAACAGTTCAGAACAGCTGGGGGTAGCTTTACCTGGGCCTGAACTGGGGAACAAATAGGGGGCAGCAGGAAGTGCACATGTGATGGTAGACCGTGGGATCTTTGCTGGAAGAATCATTTCCAATCCATCTCAGAAACCCCAGAGGCCAGCAGAGGGACTGGCACTTTGTAGATGCTCCCGATATACTTATATGAATCCTTGTGGGACATTTGGTCCTGTCCAAAATGTCCACAGAGACATTTGGTCCACAATGAAAGGTCCTTAATATTTGACCCGGTACCCAAAGGTCCATGGAGACATTTGGTCTGTAGTTAATGAAACATAAGTCCTGCTCTTCTGTAATATTTGAACCCCAACCCATCTATCTAACCCCATATACCATGATCAGCTAGGATAACGAGGTAAGAAGGGTTGTTATTGGCAATTTAGCCACAATGCAATTATTAGAGCAATAAAACACAATAGTATTTATTATAAATCCTATAAACCAAAAGTAGAAATAAACATCATGGGCCCTTTGAACCCAGGGATATTTTTGACAGAACCAAATGTTTGATAACTGTATGAGTGAGTGAGTGAGTGAATGAATGAATGAATGAATGAATAAACAGCCTGTCAAACTGTTGCCTATTTGAAGAGATCAGGAAGGGAGGATCTCTGTCAAGCTGAAGGAGTAATGGGTCTGGCTGAGGGAGGTGCTGGCAAGACCCCTTTCCCAGCCCCAAGTCTGCTGAGAGTTAAATAGCTAGGAGGGGAATTGGCAGTTTAACACAACTAAAATATCCACGTCCCTGCTCACTGCTGCCATTCTTACAACAAGTGAGCTTGGAATTCCGGAAACACAGCTATGGGTAGGAAGCCAACAGAGCACCCCCAAATAATGGTTCTTGGTTTTAGATGCCATGAACAGTGTTGATGACTGACTCCTGCACATAATTTTTAGGGTACCTATCCCTCCTGTTAGCCCAGGTATTAACCTGCACTCTAAAGTCTGATTACTCAGCTCATCTCTGAAGGAGCTCCCACCGTTTAATGGCCTTGGGATGTCGCACAGATGTCAGACAAACCTAAACAAGATAGGCAGATGGAGGTTTAGACAGAGGCTGGCAGGCTGCTCCCCTCATCAAGTTCTTCTGTTTGTACCCCAACCAGGAAAATCACTCCAATATAGCAGTAGCCACTATTTCTATTGGTAACACCCATTAGGTGCTCGCTGTCATACACAATGAAACCAGGCTGGGGAAGTTGAATGACTTGGCCATTATCAGACTGGTAAAGACAAAGAGGTTGGATAATATTGTGTGGTCAGGAGTGTGCAAAAGTGATACTCAAACATTACTATGTGGGCAGTAAATGGGTGTAACCTGCTTGGAGGGCAACATGATGAAATCTAGAGAATTATTTACATAGCACATACCTCTTGACCCAGAATTCCACTTTTAGGGACTTACCCTATTAGTAGTAAGGGCACGTAGATGCAAAGATACAGGTATAGGTATTGTCACTGAAGCACGGTATAGTCAACTGTAGTAACAAAAGGCTAGAGACAACCTATGTGTCCATTGGGAAAGAAAACTGTTTCTTACTTAACTCACAACACTTATGACACTAACACGACCTGGAGTCAGCACAGACTCCACAGGTTAAGGGTTCTGTCCCACAAGACTGCCCCCACTTCAATGCCAATCACAAGTACTGGCTTCTTGTACTTCTGACCAACTGGCTATATGTTAGGGGTTCCCATGACCCTTCCCTGAGGTTTGATAATTTGCTAGAACAGCTCACAGAACTCAGGAAAGCACTGTACTTACTATTACTAGTTTTCTGTAAAGGATACAACTCAGGAGCAGCCAGATGGAAGAGGCATGAGGCCAGGTACGTGGGGAGGGGTGTGCAGCTTCCATGCCCTCTGTAGGTGCATCTCCCTCCCGGGACCTTGATATGTTCACCCACCCAGAAGCTTTCTGAACATCTTCAGTTTATGTGTTCTTTTTTGAGGGGGTGGGGGAAAGTTCCATTACATATGAATGACTGAATGAAATCATTGGCCATTGGTGATTAACTCAATTCCCAGCCCCTCTCCCTTCAGGGCCCTGGAGGTCAGGGAGGTGAAGATGAAAGTTCCAATCCTCTAAGCACATGGTCAGTTCCTCTGCCAAACAGCCCTCAATCTTCCAAGAGTCTCCTCATTAAGAAACAAAACCACACTCCTATCACTCTGGAGATTCCAAGGGTTTTAAAAGCTTCGGGTCAGGAACTGGGCACTCAGACCAAACATTACAGCAAAAGATGTTTATCACTCAGGAAGCTACCAGGAGCTCTGTGTCAGGAACCAGGAGCAGAGACCATCTTTCTTATTACATCATAACAAGTTAAATGAATGATCAATATTCATACTATGAATTACGAATGTTCATACTTCAATATGCTATAGAGACATTAACAGCTAGGTAGGTCTATATGCATTAGTATTAGATAATCTCAAAAATAATGAAAATGAATAAAGCATAACAGTGCGCAGGGAATGTTTCCATTTGAGTAAAGTAATGCATGTCACACACACACTTATCCATGTAAACACACAGAACACGGCTGCACGGGCACACTGACAGCCAGGAGCTGTGGCTATCTTTGGGGAGGAGGCTGGCTACCGGGGGTGGAGGAAAGCCTTACATTTTCTATAGAAAATGAACAGCTGGAATATTTTAGAAGTTTGTGAATGATATAACAAATAAAAACAGCATGATCCTAAAAATAAATGCATGCCAACACTGGGTCTGAGCCCCAGATTCTTCATGTTTGAAAATGTTAGTAATTCATATTTACACAATCAACAAGGTACTTAAACATTGTCTCCACCCGTGAAGCAGGCAGGAAACTTGCATTATGAAATTATGCTTTTTGCTTCACAGGTACTTGCCTATCTGATCACTGAGAAAACTATTACCAGTTCATTATAAGGAATACAACTAGGAACAGCTAGATGGAAGAGATGCATAGGACAAGTGTGCAAACTGACACTCAGGCATAAGTGCCCAAGTCCTATGTTGCCAAGCAGAAACTCAGAGCTGAGACCGGAACTCAAGTCTTTTCGTTTCTCCACAGTTGCCTCCAATAAGAGAAGGCACTTTGAGTGTAGAGGTGAAATTTCCCACTTATTTTATGTTTCCCAAAAGAGCATACTGCTCCGTGCTGGTAAAGACTTGGGAGAGAGATGAGATAAGAAGCAGGAGTCTAGACCGGGCTTTCCAATACAGTAGCTGCTAGGCACACAGCTGTTGAGCACTTGAAACTGGCCGGTCCAAATGGAGATGTGCTCTGAGTGTAAAGTACACATCGGATTTTGAAGGCCTAGTCCTTGGCATGTTAGAATGTAAAATAGCTCATTCATAATCTACACATCGATTACACGTCAAAATGGCAATATTTTGGATATATTAAACAAACAAGATATATTAAAAGTAAAAAAATAGGTGAAATTAATGTGGCCACTAGAAAATTTAACATTGTGGCTTGCATGAGTGTCTCGCACTATATTACTCTTGGGACACCAATTTAGACTATCACTCCTCCACCCTTTTGTAAAATACACATGCTGTTCCCTTGAGGTTATTCCATTCTCTCCCCTTCTCTACAATGTGAGTGCTCTTTCCCCTGGTTCCAGCATCTCCATGGAGAATCCATCCAGCACCTGCTTCTACGAGAACATTCTCCCTCTATCTGCTTCGGCCTCCAGTAAAGCAGCCTGCTCTGACCACAACCTTCTTTCCCTCCTGTTTACTGTTTATCCCGTCCCATTGGCCTCCTCTATCCTTCCACCTGATTCCCTCTGCTTTCCTCAATCCTCACTGCCCTTCATATCCAGCCTTGGTTCCAAGGCCATCATGTCTTAAGCAGTCCTTCTAATTCTTTAATCTCCGTTGGCCTCTGTCTTCTCATCAAATTTGCTTGGCAAAATCCTAACCCTGGATCAACCACTCTCCATTTCCTCTCTGCCCGAACCTGAGCAGTCAATGTTGCAGAAGAATGTCCACGGCAGACACTCCCCAGAACAACAAAGTCCATTATTTCCAGTGCACATTCAAGAATTCAAGAGATCCCTCCATACTGCCAATCTTACTACGTTTTTTAATGTAAATTTACTCTTTTTTCCACAATTACTAAAATAAGATTTCCTCCATCTCTTAGGACCTACAAGTTCTTCCTTATTCTCACTCAGTAGACAACCTTTCCCTCCTGGGACACCTGCTTTAAACAGCCTTGTGGCTTCTGGGTCACCACACTCACCTGGTTTTTTTCCCAGCTCCTCTGATGGTAGAGTGGACACTCAGCAGGCTTCATGAGAGCGCAGCTCCACCCTTGTCCCCAGATGCCGAGCAGGCACACCTGCCTGTGGGAGCAGAGGGTGGCAGAGGAGGGCAAGATGCTGGCTGGGAAAGCCCCAGGATAGCCACCCCATGCACACTGCTTGGAACCAAAAGACCCGGGATCTATTCTGCCTGCACACACCCTGGTTGGGTGATTGCACAAATCCCTTTACCTCTCTGGCCCACCATTTTCTCATTTGTAATTAGGGATCATCATGGCTTGGCTGTCAATGGGTCAATAAAAACACAAACTGAAAAATATGTGAGAGAGCTTGGCAGCAGGCACAATGCCAGGCCACGAGATTTGAATCCAGTCTCATTTTATTTAATGAGCACCTGGGAACAGAAGCCAAGGGGACTAACATTTGTGTAGCACCACCTCAGTGTCACGTGCTCCATGTGGGGGTTAATTTGGTGCCCACCAGCTCAGCCCAATCTTTTCTCTGATCCCCCGCACACTGGGTGGTTTGCACGAAGGAATGGGTGAGTTAAGTAATTCAGTTTGCCCCCTCCATCCTCTCCAATACTATGATGCCGTATTTCTCAACATTTACCTGTATCGGAATCCCCTTAAACCCTTATTAAAACACAATTGCTGGGCCTCAGCCTCAGTTTCTAATTCAGTAGGTCTGGTATTAGGCCCCAGAGTTTGCATTTCTAACAAGTTTCCAGGTAATGCCACTGCTGGTCCCAGAATCACACTTTTTGAACCTCAGCAGTAATGATTCTGCAAGAGCTTCAGGCAAAGGGGGCACTGAGGGTGCTCCCAGCATCCCTGCAGGCCAGTCCCTCCTCTCCTTCTCCAACACTGGTAATGCCACTTCTGCAAGGAGGGACCAGCCTCTGCTGCAGAATTTCTCATCTTGGGGAAGGGAAGACTTGGGACACCCGCTTACTGTCAGAAAGAGGACCAGGGGTAAAGACTGAAAGGATAATGGCTCTGGTGGACAGAATTGAGGCAGTGTGTGTACAACAGGTGCATTCAGAGACTGTGGAGTCAGACAGACTGCTGTTCAGAATTTGGGTCTGCCAGTAACAGCTGTGTGACCTGGGATAAAGAATTTCTTTCAGTCTCAGTTACCGTATCTATGAAATAAATATGGTAAGTCCTTACTTAATGTCAATGATAGGCTCTTGAAAACTATGACTTTCACTGAAATATAAAGAAACCAATTTTATCATAGGCTAATTGCTATAAATAAGAATTGAGTTCCTACAGCATAGTTCTGGTCACAAAAGTCAGCACTTCTAAATAAAGACCCAAAACTCTTCTAATATTAAACACTGAAATAAATGTGAGCTATGCACATGTTTAAAAAGATTAATAAAAACAAGTACAATTATTCTTTTCCAGCCTGTGGTTTTTACTTTAGGGTCGGTCACAAGTGGCAGAATGAAGTTGAAGTGAGACAATATGTGTAAGGAGATTATCAGTTTCTAACAGGTGGTAATCTCTCTGTAAATATTAGCTATTATTAGGAATTCTATGAAGATGTATTGAGCTGCTTACTGAGGTAGTGAACACCCATTCTCAGGGTGTGGGAGTGGCAGCTGGAATTATACCAGGGACTGAAGCAGTAGACCCGAAACTGGAGTTGGAGGGTTGGGTAGCAGAGGCTGCTTCTTCTAGCTCAAATCACTTAGTAGGTAGGGAAATGGAATGAGTATTTTTTAATCTGTGATTCCCTTACCCGAGAGACTGGATGACCTGAAATTCTGCCCTGTGAAATTCCTTCTGGAATCTTTTCACCTTAAGCAAAAGCCACCCTTGCTGGAAAACGGAATTCTTCTGAATGGCCACAGGCTATGATCAAGTCACTGCCATGTTTCTATTCAGATGCCAAGGAAGCTACACAGAGGCAGTTGCCTGGCCCTGCACAACATTGTGGGGTGGGGCACTGCTGGGTTTGCCCTCTGCAGAGCTGGGCTAAGGACTTAGTCAGGCCTGGGCCAGTGGCCAGCCTGGGAAACTGGAAGATTGGAGCCTTCTCAGACACTTCTGCAGAAATGTATGTGGAACTGGGGGACAAAGGAAGAAATGAGGTAGTGTGACCTCCCGACATTTCTCCTGGGAGGACTTTACAGGATGTCTGAGCGCACTTGGAAGAGAGGTTTAGAGTGATCAAAAGATAATTCAGGCACATACATGACTGGGTAGCATAGTTAGAGTTATTTTTTTCAAATAACAAGGCCTTCCAGCCAAGATGGAGGTGTAGGTAGATATATTGTGCATCCTCACACAACCAAAAGAAGGAAAACAACATATTTAAAAACAAAAAATAACCAGAACTGCCAGAAAATTGAACTGTATGGAAGTCCAACAACCAAGGAGTTAAAGAAGAAATATTCGTACAGACTGGTACGAGGGGCAGAGACAGGCAGCAGGGGCAAAGAGGACTCACAGCAAGGTTGCGGCTGGAAGACTGGGTGGTCCCACAATCATGTGCGGATAACCAGGAAGAACAACTGGGGAGCAAGACAGACTATGTAACCCAGTGTTCCAGTGCAGGGAAATAAAGCCTCAAAACCTCTGGCAGTAAAAACCTGTGGGGGATTTGGTAGTGGGAGAACTCCCAGCCTCACAGGAGGGTTTGTTGGAGAGACCCACAGGATCCTACAATATACACAAACACACACACCTGGGAATCAGCACCAGAAGGGCCCAATTTGCTTGTGGGTAGCAGGGGAGTGACTGAAAGTTGGCCAAGAGCTAAGCAAGTGGCACTGTTCCCTCTCGGACCCCTCCCCCCACATACAGCACCACAGCACTTTGAGGTGGTTTGCCCCGCCCTGGCGTATACCTAAGGCTCTGCCCCTTACAATGTAAGAGCTGTGCCAAGACAAAAAAATATGACCCAAATGAAAGAACAGATCAAAGCTCCAAAAATAGAACTAAGCAATGAAGAGATAGTCAACCTATCAGATGCAGAGTTCAAAACACTGGTAGTCAGGATGCTCACAGAAATGGTTGAGCACAGATGCAAAATGGAGGAAAAAGTAAAAGCTATGCAAAGTGAAATGAAGAGAAATATACAGGGAATCAAAGTGAAAGGAAGGAAACTAGGAATCAAATCAACGATTTGGAGCAGAAGGAAGAAATAAACATCCCGCTGGAACAGAACGAAGAAACAAGAATTTACAAAAAGGAGAAGAGGCTTAGGAACCCCCAGGACATCTTTAAATGTTCCAATCTGAATCATAGGGATGCCAGAAGGAGAAGAGGAAGAGCAGGGAATTGAAAACTTATTTGAAAAAATAATAAAGGAGAACTTCTCCAATCTGGCAAAGGAAATAGACTTCCAGGAAGTCCAGGAAGCCCACAGAGTCCCAAAGAAGTTGGACCCAAAGAAGCACACACCAAGGCACATCATAATTACATTAGCCAAGATTAAAGATAAGGAGAGAATCTTAAAAGCAGCAAGGGAAAAGGAGACAGTTATCTACAAAGAAGTTCCCATTAGACTATCAGCTCATTTCTCAAAAGAAACCTTGCAGGTTTCTTGCAGGCAAGAAGGGGCTGGAAAGAAGTATTCAAAGAGATGAAAAACAAGGACCCACATCCAAGATTACTCTAGCCAGCAAAACTATCATTTAGAATGGAAGGGCAGGTAAAGTGCTTCCCAGATAAAGTCAAGTTAAAGGAGTTCGTCACTACCAAGCCCTTATTTTATGAAATGTTAAAGGGACTTATCTAAGAAAAAGAAGATCAAAACTATGAACAGTAAAATGACAACAAACTCACAACTCTCAACAACTAAACCTAAAAAACAAAAAGAAACTAAGCAAACAACTAGAACAGGAACAGAATCACAGAAAGGGAGATCACATGGAGAGTTATCAGTGGGGTGGAGGAGGGTGGAGAATGGGGATAAAGGTACATGGAATAAGAAGCATAAATGGTAGGCACAAAATAGACAGGGGGAGGTTATGAATAGTATAGGAAAGGAGAAGCCGGAGAACTTATTTGTATGACCCATCGACATGAACTAAAGTGGGAGAATGCTGGTGGGAGGGAGGGTGTAGGGCAGAGGGAAATAAAGGGGGATAGTGGGACAAGTATAATAGCATAATCAATAAAATATATTTTTTAAAAAAGAATAGATAACAAGTAGAGGAAGTGGAGAAGCCGAAGAAATGTATGACCCATGGACATGAACTAAAGTGGGAGAATGCTGGAGGGAGAGGGGGTGCAGGGCAGAGGGGAAGAAAGGGGGAAAAATGAACAACTGTGATGGCATAATCAATAAAATGTATTAAAAAAAAGAAAAACAACACAAAGCTCTTTTTTCAAAGGAGACTCAATAGCCAATTCCTTTTTGTCTTCTGAGTCTTAGTTTAAAATCACTTCTTCCAGGAAGCCTTCCCCCCATCACTCAGCACATTCTTCCCCTTCCTGACAAGCTGTTTCCATAGGACGAGCCTAACAGAGAGACAGGGAAATGGTCCAGTCCAGGAGCTCTCTGCTTGTGGTCACTCATCAAAATCACCTGAAGAGCTTAAATGAGAAACAAGAGTTGTGTCCTGCCCTTGGAGATGGTGATTTAACTGTCTTGGGTGGGACGTGAGCATCTGTAGGTCTTACAGCCCCCCAGGTGGACTTAATGTGCAGCCCTGGCTGAGAAGCACTAAACCAGAGCACCCTCCTTGTCTTGCATGCTCAAGGAAGGGAACAGGCCTCATATACAGGGCTCACCAACAGCACTGGGACTGGGACCATTCCCCAGGACCTTCCTCTTCTGCTGGCTGAGGGTTTCCCAGGAAGCCCCAGAGCAGCTGAGCTCCTCTGGGGTCAGCACTGTACATACCCCCCTGGGGTGCACCTCAGCAAGGGGAAAGACCAGTGTGCTCCCTGGTCCCCACGTGAGCAAGGAATGTCCTGTGCTCTCTTTACGGTTCAGTGTGCCAGTTCCCCTTTGCCCACAGGGCTGACCAGTGCTTTCCCAGCCCAGCAAATCAGTTAGGGGAGAAAATCATTTTCCAACTTTGAACTTGCCAATTGTGCCTCTCTCCTACTCCCATTTCTGCTAGATAAGTAAATAACTTCCTACTCAAGCCCATTTTCAAGGGAAATGACACATGGGGGCAGCCCAGGGCCCGAGCGCCCTCGACTGCGGAGTGCTAGGTCAGTGGGTTGCCAGCTAAATCCCAGGACGTGCCTGCTAAGGCTGCACTCCACTTCTTTTGCTCAGCACATGGAGACTCAGCCAGGCCCCACAATGAACAGGGTAGACTCTGGCATCTTCCTTTTTTAATAAGGGCTCTAACCTTATCATGGAGTCACCCTCCCCTGCCCCAACTCCCCCTGCCCCAACTCCCCCTGCCCCATGATCTCAACTAAATCTAATTACCTGCCAAAGGCCCCACCTCCAAATACCATCACTTCCTGGGGGTTAGGGCTTCAACATATGAATTTTAGGGGGACACAAACCTTCCATCCCTAAAAGTCCCCTTTACAGGGAAAAGGCTTCAAAGGCAGGCTGCTTATGTGTTTATGTTTGTGGGGTGTGCTTTAACAGAACTTCAGTGTAAGTGATGAATATCAGATTTTCTGGGTGGCAGATTTTGACAGAGGCTGAAAAGGCAGGAAATGGAGGGAGCTGGTGAGAGGGAGCTTGCTCCACATCATCAAGGCTGACCCTGAAGCATAGGCCTTACTCAGGCAAGTGCCCAGGTATTCACTGTCTTTTAAGGGGTGGAGCCTGGCTAGCCCTGGGTAAGTACTAGGGACCCACAGATGAAAAAGTGGCTGGTTTCCTGGAGCTTACAGCTGTGTTTGAGTCAAATATTAAGTGAATTGCAAAACCTTTACCTGTCCTCCAGGGTTTGCACGTGCTTACTCTTTGCCTAGGACACTTTGTATTGTTTCATTTCCCTGGTTGCTCCTGTCCATCTATCAGGTCTGGAGAGGTGTGGCTCCCTTTGGAGGGTTTGCCTTGGTTCCCCTAGTCTGGTTTTGAGCCTCTAGAGCTTCTAGAAGTTTGGCACCTCCTTCCTCTTAGGGCTCACCACCCCAAACTGGCACTCCTGAGTGCTTGTCTGAAGACAAGACTATGATCCGTGCTATCTCCAGTACCCACCATGGCCTGTTTCCTGCAGGCAGACGGTGCCCTGGATGAGTGAATGAATCAAGTATACACTATGGTGAATGGCAGGCCCTTGAAAGTCAGGGGTATCTGCGTGGCCCCTGCCTGAGAATGGCGGCTGGAAACATGTGCTGGAGGGTTGAGAAACATTGGAAAAGGCCACTGCAACTCCAAACACACCTAACCACCTCATGGACTCACAGCAGCTATTTCTTGCCCCACACACAGCTAGAGGCACATACTGCATGCTAGTCTTTCTGAGTTTCTGAGATTTGCAGCCTCCAAAATTGGGCTAGACAGGCATAAAAGTCAAAAGCGCCAGAGTGTCCAGGTTTGAATCCTAGCTTTTCCACTGGTTAGCTGGTGACTTTGCACAAGTTACAACAACCTCCCTGTACCTCAGTTTCCTCACTTGTGAAATGCATAAGAGTAGCACTTATTTTTTAGAATTGCCCAGAGGACTAAATGATAGAAGTATCATAAAGTCTGAAGAATGGTGAATGCATACGTGACTTAGCAAGTGCTGGCTCTAACTACAGGTCCTCCCACCTCCAGTGGGCCCACAATGGTCACTCTTTAAACCTCAGTTGACTAATCTGGGAAAGGAAAATCATAATAATGACAATGATTAAACCAGAAAGTAAGACTGTGGGGCTGTGCATTGCATTCAGATTCATCGAGTGGAGGGTTCTAGTGCTGACCCACTGCTCAGTGCAGAGTGGCGAGGACCACCCTGCATTCAGGCCCCAGCACGCAGCCCAAGCCCCCAGAACCCCTTTTCAAGAGAGGTAGCTGTGGATTCCTCTGCGTGGTCAGGGACACTTACAGAGCATGCTGTTGACCCAAAAGGGCGAGTGGAGGAGTTGGTCCGGCAGTAGGGGCCGGGCCGTGTGCCCTTGAGGTCTCGGACACCTCAGGTGCAGTCTGCTTACTCCAGAAATGAAAAATATTGCGGAGGAGGCATTCACAGGAGTGGGTTATCTCCCAGACCGCTTCCGGCTTTGATGAGGCCCGGCCCAGGGGGGCGGGGCGATCCCGTAGAGGTGGTCCACGCTGCGGCCTGGGGACATTACGCTTTGCTTCGGTCCCTCCGCTTTGCTGGGATCCCTCCGGCCTCCAGGCTGCGCCCAGCGCCCCCCAGCTAGCTGCGCGTGCCCACCAGCCCAGAGGGCCTGCAAGGTGGGCAAGGGCCGGTGGCCCGGCAGCCCAACTCCCGCCCCCGCCCCTTGCTTACTCTGCAGACAGCAGGCTGTGGTCAGGCCGAGGGCGAGGAATCCCAGCGAGACGCCGCGGTGCTTCCTTTGCCCGCTCCGTAGAGGCCTCATGGGCAAGGCCAGGGCAGCGCGTCGGGCTTGGGTTTGCCCTGTGGTGCGGTCCGGTAGGCTGTGCGCTTTCGCTTCTCCTACCTTCCCGCTTGCCTCCCCTCTCCTCTTCCTCGTCTTCTGGCTCCTGCAAGTCCCCAGGGCCAGATGCAGATGAGCTGGTTGCACTCTAGCGGAACCAGTTCCCTAAGAGTTGAGAGAGAGAGAGAGAGAGAGAGAGAGAGAGAGAGAGAGAGAGAGAGAGAGAGAGAGAGAGAAAAGGAGAGGGGGAAGGAGAGGGAGAGAGAGAGAAGAGAATGAATGCGGGAATGCACACAGAGGTAAATAATGACAAATAAGGAGCAGCCTCCTTCCGTTCACACCCAGTTTACTGATATTGATTCAAGATTCAGCTGGATGCTGGGCGGCAGGAGGGAGGGAAAGTACTAGCTGTTGCCTGAGGACCAGCAGGGACCATCTAATCAATGGCTCCAAAAGAAAGGAGGGCTTTTAGGAAAGCAAAATGACAGCCCAAGGGGAGAGGAGTGGGAAGAGGGGGAAGGGAGCCACAGGCTGGCTGCTCTGGGTGGAGCCATGGAATGGTGATGATACTCATCCACCCATCCATCATCCATCCATCTAACCATGCACCCATCTGCCATCCATCCACCACTATCTAGCCATTCAAACTTCCACCATTCACTCATCTGTCCATCCACCCACCCACCATCCATTCATCCACCACCTATCATTCATCCATCTATCCAAGAAGCGTTCACTGAGAGCCTCCTTATTTGCACAGGACCTGACACATGGTAGATGAGTTAGGGAACATTGGTGGAATGGAGCAAGTGCTGGGGCCACAACTATGAACAAGACAGATAGGGACACCTCTTTAGAAATCCAGTTGCTATGCTGTGCATGTATCACTTTGATAAGGGAGGCCAGGATGCAATGGACACTCTGAGCAAGAGTAGGTAACCCTGGGGGAAGGTGGAGGAGCACCGGGTGGGAGAAGAATTAGTGTTGGTCACAGAGAGTAAGGTCACAGAAAAGTTGGACACAGAGTAGTTCCTTCTGTGTGTGTGTGTGTGTGTGTGATGAAATTCTATTCCAGTTTGTTACAACTAGATTTCCTAGCTTCCCTTACAGCTGGGGGTAGCAGTGTGATCCAATGCTGGCCAGTGGTTTAAGAGAAGTCTTCTTGGGATGTTTCTGGGTGTTTGCTTTCCTGAAAAAAAGTGACAGATAAGGCTAGGGTTGCCCCTCTCCTTGCTTCCTGCCTTGAAGAAAATCATAATGTTTAGATCTACGGCACCTGTCTTGCATCCATGAAGTTACATGGATGAGGACAAAAGTCATCATACTAAGTAAGATGGTGGAACAGAAAGATGGAAAGATAGGAGACCATGGTCATCCAGCACAGTTTTCTATCTCCTTCCTCTGGTTCCTAAGGGGGACTCCTTGCCGAGTCTGTGTATGCTTGGGAAGGCTGATGTAGAGGTACCCTACCCTGCTGACTGCCCCAGGGTGGATCAGTGAGACAGGTTGACCAGAGTATACTCTTCACCAGTCAAAGTGTTTGGTTCAAAGATGGACTGACAGGACTCTCAGAATCTCCTCTGGGAATTATATGTGGCCATTGTTGGGACTGCTAAAATCAGCGAGTATGGGGGACCATCTTGCCTGTCATGTGGCAAGTCCCAAAATTAAGAATGAAGTCAAGGTGATATAAACTAAGATGGGAACTGAGAAGAGACGTAGAGCCCTAATGATATGGTTTGTCTGAGATTCTACACACTTGTCTTTTCCAGTTACAAACAAATACATGCCCTCTTTTGTCTCAGAAAATTTAAGTTGGATTTCTATGACATAAAATTGAGAAAGTCCTGATTAGTACAAGTGGTCTTCCTGACATTCTTCTGTTTTCTTTACTCCATGTAAGGGGATTCAGGAATCACTAGTATCCATACATTTATTCATCAGACCTTGATTAAGTCTGCCCTTGTACCAAGCCCTGCAGCTCCAAAGATGAATCACTCATGGTTCCTAATCCTAAGAAGCTCACAAACTACTGGTGACAGAATGATCCAGATTTAGAAAGGCCTTCTAGTACTCAAGCTCTTCCTGTGGAGGGTGAGATGAGAGGAAACTGGCTGTTTTGCTCACTGTTGTATACCTGGCACCTGGTTGGTGCTTAGTAACTATTTGTTAAATGAATATATGAATGGGAAAAACTGCGTCTGAGAGTTGTGAGAGAGAAGGAAGGACTTCATGAGATAAATAGCCAATAAAAACTAGCTAGGGTGACTCAATGATGCTATGAGCTTTTTAAAAAATATATTTATTTTTAGAGAGGGGAAGGGAGGGCAATAGAGAGGGAGTGAAACATTGATGTGTGGTTGCCTCTCACGCACCCCCCAATGGGGACCTGGCCTGCAACCGAGGCATGTGCTCCACATTGGGAATCAAACTGGCAATGCTTTGGTTGGCTGGCACTCAATCCACTGAGCCACACCAGCCAGAGCTGAAGCTATGAGTTCTTATCCTGCCTCTGTCACCTACCAGCTAGCTCTCTGGCCATGGAGAAGTCACATCAACTCTCTGGACCTCTGAGGGGGTTGGACTGTACCACAACTGGTTAACTCTGTCTGCACATTAGAAAAAAAGCCTCACTCCAATTCAACTGAATCTGATTTTGGCAGGGGCAGATGGCATTAGAGTTTTTTAAAAAGCTCTCTTAAGTGATTCTCATGTGCAACCATGAGGGAAAACCACTACTCTAGATTTGTTAGAAGCTTCTTGTGGTCATGCTGATGACATTTAGATCTGAGTTTATCAAATCCTTTTTGTAGAGTAGGAATTCATTGAGGGGAGGGTTTACAGTTTCACTTGTCTTCCTCCCTCCCTCCCTCTTTTCCTCCCTGTTTTCTTTTCTTTCTCTGTCTGTCTGTCTGTCTGTCTGTCTGTCTCTCTCTCTCTTTCTCTTTTCTTTTTCCTTTCCTTCCTCCTTTCCTTTTCTTCTTTCTTTTTCTTTTCTTTCATTTCCTTCCTTAGTCTTTCTTTTTCTAAATTACTTCATTGTTGTTCAATTACAGTTGTCTGCATTTTCTCTTCACCACTCTCCCCCACCCCAGCCAAACCCACCTCCCTCCCTTACTCCACCCTCCCCCTTGGTTTTGTCTGTGTGTCCTTTGTAGTAGTTCCTGAAAATCCTTTCCTCCACTATCCCCTTCCCCCTCCCTTCTGGCTATTATTAGATTGTTCTTAGTTTCAATGTCTCTGGTTGTATTTTGTTTGCTTTTTTCTTTTGTTGATTATGTTCCAGTTAAAGGTGAGATATGGTATTTTTCCCTCATCACCTCATTTATTTCACATAGCACAATGCCCTCTAGTTCCATGCATGTTGTCACAAATGGTAGGAGCTCCTTCTTTCTCCCTGCTGCATACATAGAATTCCATCATGTAAATGTACCATAGTTTTTTGATCCACTCATTTATGATGGGCACTTAGGTTGCCTCCAGCACTTGGCTATTGTAAATTGTGCTGCTATGAACATTGGGGTGCATAGGTTCTTTTGGATTGATGTTTCAAGGCTCTTAGGGTATAATCCCAGCAGTGAAATTGTTGGATCAAAAGGCAGTTCCATTTTTAGTTTTCTGAGGAAATTCCATGCTGTTTTCCACAGTGGCTGCACTAGTCTGCATCCCCACCAACAGTGCACTAGGGTTTTCTTTTCTCCACATCTGCTCCAACACACAAAGCATTTAAGGGAGAGCTAACCCCCATCCCTCACAGATTATTTTAAAAAGTTCAAGAAGATGGAAGACTACCAAACTCTTTTTATGAAGCCAGCATCATCCTAATCCCCAAACCAGATAAAGGCAAAACAAAGAAAGAAAACTTCAGGCCAATATCACTGATGAACATAGATGCTAAAATCCTCAACAAAATATTGGCAAACCTGATCCAGCAATATGTTAAAAAGATCATACACCATGATCAAGTGGGATTCATCCCAGGGATGCAAGGATGGTACCATATTCACAAATCAATAAACATAATACACCACATAAACAAAATGAAAGAAAAATCACATGATCATATCAATAGATGCAGAAAAAGTATTTGATAAGGTACAGCACCCATTTATGATAAAAACACTTAGCAAAGTGGAAATAGAGGGAGTATTCCTCAACCTAATAAAAGCCATATATGAGAGACCTACAGCCAACATCATACTCAATGGACAAAAGCTTAGAGCTTTCCCACTAAGATCAGGAACAAGACAAGGATGCCCACTTTTACCACTCCTATTCAACATAGTATTGGAAGTCCTAGCCACAGCAATCAGGTAAGAAAAGGAAATAAAAGGCATCCAAATTGGAAAGGAGGAAGTAAAACTCATTGTTCTTAGTCTTTCAACAGATGTTAAGTACCTATGAGATCCCAAGCAGAGAGGGAGGAGTAGGGAGGAAGACTCCCTCCCTAAAAAAGTAGATTGGAGTTCAGATTTGAGGAATCTATATACTGAATACTAAGGATGTGTGTTTTTGCTAAAAGGATGTAATTCAATATTCACACTGACACTGAAATGTTGTCTCCTCCTTTGCAGTCTTTGGCATATGCTATAACCCTCTGGCATTTGGTAACTCTTCTTCCCCATTAACCACTCTGGAAAATACCCACCAGTATTTAGTTTTTTCAAGACCTTAGGAGCTATCTTCACTTCTAAGAGAAGCAAATTATGTATGTTTATAGTGTCCTGGCTTTATGACAACTCCATATCTTCATACAGTTGTCATTTTCAAGGACAGTTCTAATGTTAAATATGTGATTACTTTGTTCCTATAAGCACATATGAATCTGTAAGACCATATATCCTGGTGTTGGGTTCTGCAGAATTGGTCACCACATTCAGATGACATATAGTAGTACCTTTTTGTGGATTATTTAATACTCATGGCTGATTTAGAAAGACAGACACAGTTTACACACAATAGAATGTACAGATTCTAAGTGTCCAGTTCAATAATTTTTTATTATATTATTCTTGTTATTCTATTACAATTGTCCCAATTTTTCCACTTTGCCCTCCTCCACCCAGCCCATCCCCTGCTCTCACAGTCAATTCCCACACCATTGTCCAAGTCCATGGGTCACTCACATGTGTTCTTTGATTAATGCCTTCCCCTCCTTTTCACCCTTCCCTCTATCCCCCTCCCCTCTGACAGCTGTCAGTCTGTTCCC